GTGCTGCTGTTGTGGTGGTTGGTGCAGCAGTTGTTGTAGTTGGTGCTGCTGTTGTGGTGGTTGGTGCAGCAGTTGTTGTAGTTGGTGCTGCTGTTGTCGTGGTTGGTGCTGCAGTTGTAGTTGTTGGTGCCATGGTTGTGGTAGTTGGTGTCACTGTTGTAGTTGTTGGGGTAGCAGTTGTAGTTGTTGTTCTTGGATCATTGCACAAACTTGTTGTACAGCAGCTTGGTCCACTAGTTATCGAACCAACACTCTCCATGAATGGCAAATTACCCAGACTTGAAGCAGCTGCACATGTGTTCGGACTAATACATCCCAGCGCTTGAATTGTGTTTGTTCCATCGTTTACTGTTAATATTTAAAAGAAAGTTGAGTCAGTCCAGTTTATTTCCAAAGAACAATCAATCCAAGTATTCAAACAACAGAAGACTACTCTTTGTGCTTTCTTCAGCTTCTAACATTAGCTTTTGAATCATTCCAGCTCTAAAGTATTTTTTAGAATTACAATATTCCATCCAAACTACTGTATCACAAATGTAAACTTACAAGTTGCTGTCACACAGTTGCTCTCCTCTCCTGAACATGGGATGGGAGTGGTACACTGAGATGTGGTGGGGTCACAAACAACACACTGAAGGGAGTTGAGTTGCGGTGTAGGTGGCGCTGAAATGAAAACCGCAGATAAAAGAGAAACAGGTTAAACACACATAACACAAAGGAAATGTCAGTATTATTAAAACTCCGGATGAAACCTACAAGATAGAGTTTGTGAATTGCAGTTGTCAGTGTTGCAGCACTCAGCAGATGCAATTGCACTTTGGTAACCCAAGTTGACTGAAAACGTCTGAGAGCCTGTGCTTGGACACAGAGAGGATGGTGCGCAGGCTTTGTAGATTTGTGTTCCTGGAACTCCAAACTGAGTTCCTGCAAAGGCAATGGGATATTTGTTGTTTTTAATAGAAAGCATACACAGCCTGAAATGAAAGCTGAAGTTCTGACTATAAAAAGTAGCAAGACATAAACACACCAATACCTTTAATGTTAGCTGTTATGCACATCGTCTCTGAGCCACATGTTAGTGGTGCTGTGGTTGAACATGCCTGATTGGTGCAGGTGATGCACTGCAGAGCCCCAGCTGCAAACAATTGAAATGTTGGATTTAAAGAATTGTTCAGAAACTTTCATAAAAACATTCTGACAATATGTCCATTGATTTAAAAATTCAAC